TGAAGGCTTCTTTTTATAAAGAGGCCCAGAATGGGCAAACCCTATTCCTCTTGGTATTTTTAGCTTGCCTTTCGGCGTGTGCACACATAGTCCTTGTGCTTTGAAACGGCTGGATGCCTGAAAAGCAGGTCCCCGAGGTCAGGGTCTAAACCAGAGACCGAGGAGGTGTAACATGGGGCTGCCGTGTTTGGGAAATTGCATCCTGAGCCGAGGAACCGAGAAGGTTTTGTAGAACCGGGGGGGAACTGTCCTCGTCAGCAGGGAAGCGAGGGATTTCACGTGGCTGCAGGTGATCTGCCTGGCATGATTAATCACCTTCCGCACGTCTTTCCTGTGCTGGAAACTCTGGGAACAAGGAAGGGAAAATTACTGGAGCTGGCCTGCTCTTGGCAAACCCCAGGGCGGCAGTGTCTGTGAATGGCAGGTCTTCAAAGGCATCCGTCTCCCGTCTTGGGCAGGCACATGGAGCAGCTCAGAAGGACGGTGAGGAGAGTCGTCTTGGCTGCGTGGGCCTGGGGGATCACGCGGGTGATACGTACCTGTCCGGCACGCTGCCATTGCCGAGTGGGGATGCAGTGACTGAATGCTGCGTCCCTGCCGGTCCCATGCAGAGCATCCTGCTTGTCCCTTCTCCCCTATCCTGACAGAACAGGGGACCCTCTTGTAAAGCCGTAGGAATGCTACACAGCCTGGGCAGCCTCTGCATCATGGATCAGCTCCGCAGGGAACTTTGCCATTTCAAAGTGGGGAAGTGAGCAGCGCCCGTGCTTTGCATATGCTTTCCACTTGGGAGGGAAGAAGTGGCTTTTATCAGGATGGGAATGTTCCTGCTGGGGCTGTCTCGGGGGAGGCCGTCCATGCAGTCGATGGCAGGAGCAGCACATCACACTCAAGCATTAGTGCAGGCTGCAGATGGAGCAGGGCTCTTGCTGTTGCTACAGAAACAGCAGTCTCACAGCAGTGTCGTTTGATGGAGACATGAGGTACTTAGACACATCGGCTTGAACGCTGCATCTCTTTTTGAGACGGCCTTCAGGAAGGACGTGCTGGGGAGTGTCCAGAGGAGAGCAGTCAGATGCTTAGGCAAGGTGGTAGCAAGGGGTGATCAGGGGGTTGGCCTTCTCTTTTCTAGCAGAGAAAGCTGAGGGGGGTGTTGTAGGAGTCTTTGTGTATGTAAGAAGTTGTTGCAGGCAAGAGGAGAGTGATCTGTTCTCCACGTCAGCTCTTGCAGGACAAAAACTAATGGGTATGTTTCTGTCAAGGCTCTCGCAGGGAGCACGTGGAGAGGTGGTCCCAAAGTGGCGTGGAGTCTCCCTCGAGATATCTGAGGGCTGGTTCAACAGACATCTGCTCTGAACGATGCTGGTTTGGGGTGGATATTTTGGGTTAGCTGGCCTGTTAGCACCCTGTCCAGCCCTGCTGTCTGTGATTCTGCACTTTGCACAAGAAGGACCCTAACAGCTCTTGTGTCACTTGTTTATGCAGGGAGTTTTGCGGAGAAGACTTACGAATGGAGCTCAGAAGAGGAGGAGTCCGTGAGGAAGGCAGGACCGGTGCAAGTCCTCATTGTCAAAGACGACCATTCCTTTGAACTGGATGAAGCTGCACTGAACCGCATCCTCCTCTCAGAGGCTGTCAGAGATAAAGAGGTCGTGGCCGTGTCCGTTGCCGGCGCTTTTAGAAAAGGAAAATCGTTCCTGATGGACTTCATGTTGCGGTACATGTACAATAAGGTATGGTTCTGGCTATGGTGCTGCTGCTCCTTGCTCCCAGGTGCTGCCCAGGGATGAGCTGGACGGGACATTGGCTTGGTGCTCCGGGAATGCTCAAGCCTCTCGTTAGCATGGGCTTCACAAATTCAAATAGAGCAGATCCTTCCAGAGCCCCGTGCACCAATGGGTCTCTAATGGGACTCTTGGCTTAGGGGCAGAGATGGTCACATTTGCCACCCTGTGGGAACCGTCTCTTGCAGCGCCTGCCCTGCTCCAGCGCTGGGGTGGAGGCAGCACAGAGGAAATGTGTAAAACCAAAGTGAGCAGAGAACTCCAGCAAATTCCTCTGTTTCCACCTGCAGGAAGCAGTGGACTGGGTTGGAGATTACAACGAGCCTCTGACTGGTTTCTCATGGAGAGGAGGGTCTGAGCGGGAGACGACTGGCATTCAGATATGGAGTGAGGTTTTCCTGGTGGACAAGCCCGATGGTAAAAAGGTATGTGCTTCTCTGCTGCATGGTTTTTAGCTGCCTGGTGCTGGTCAGCTCGTCTTTCCATTTGGCCTCTCCTGCCTTGTCTTAGGTGGTCCAAACTCCTGTGCAAGTTTAGAGAAGGTCTTTAATACCATATCCCTAATTTAGCATGAGTGGGTCTAATACACTGAGTTGGTATAGAATCATGGAATGGTTTGGGTGGGAAGGGACCTTACAGACCATCCAGTTCCAACCCCCCTGCCATGGGCAGGGACACCTTGCACTAGACCAGGTTGCTCCAAGCCTCATCCAGCCTGGCCTTGGACACTTCCAGGGATGGGGCATCCACAGCTTCTCTGGGCAACCTGTCCCAGTGCCTCCCCACCCTCTCCAGGAAGAATTTCTTCCTGATATCTAATCTAAACCTCCCCACTTTCAATTTAAACCCGTTACCCCTTGTCCTGTCACTCCCTGCCCTTGTAAAAAGTTCCCCCCAGCTTCCTTGCAGCCCCCCCAGGCACTGGAAGGCTGCAATATGGTCTCCCCGGAGCCTTCCCTTCTCCAGGCTGAACAAGCCCAACTCTCTCAGCCTTTCATCATAGCAGAGGAGCTCCAGCCCTCTGAGCATCTTTGTGGCCTCCTCTGGACTCGCTCCAACCAGTCTATATCCTTCTGATGTTGAGGGCTCCACAGCTGGACGCAGCACTCCAGGTGGGGTCTCACCAGAGCAGAGCACAGGGGCAGAATCACCTCCCTCAACCTGCTGGCCACGCTGCTTCTGATGTAGCCCAGAACATGGTTGGCTTTCTGGGCTGCCAGTGCACACTGCTGGCTCATGTTCAGCTATGTATGATGTCTAGGTGTCCTTGATATTCCACAGGGATTTAAATCTGAGGTCCTTGCAAGCTGCTCCCTTTTCCTAGAGGAGTAAAATGGAGTTTCTTCATTCAGGATGGTCAAATACAATGCGAACTGGATTTGGGGGAATCTTGCCAATTCAGCTTATAGCCAGGAGTATTTGTATTCATCTACTCTTTAATGAAGAGCCCAAGACCAAAGTGACACTGAATTATTCACGGTGTGGTTTCTAATGCTGGCTGAGTGTGTTCTGGGGTAAGGAGGTGGGATACGCTGCTGCGTTTGGTTTCTGTGACACGTAGCTAATGCAGGAAAAGACCCACCCGCACTGACAGCAAGCGCTTGAGGAGCAGAGCTGTCCCTCCCCTGCGCTGCACAGCGTTCATTTCGCTGCCTGCAGGCATTACCGCTCTGTCCAGAGCGACTGTGGCTGCTCTTTTCCTTTGTCCTCCACCAGTTGTACGTCTGAGGCAGAAACAGTGAGATTCCCAGCACAGGGATGCAGCCGACCTTTGCCTCTGAGCCCCTTTGGCGCTTGGGAGGGATTTTTCTTGGATGCAGATGCTGAATGGGTGCATCCAAGCTGACGCGGAGCTTTCTGCCTCTCAGGTTGCGGTGTTGCTGATGGACACGCAGGGGACCTTTGACAGCCAGTCCACCCTGCGGGATTCGGCCACCGTGTTTGCCCTCAGCACAATGATCAGCTCGATACAGGTAAGAAGGGAGACATCTCCAGGAATCACTTCCTAAAAGGCAGTGGCAAAATACTAGTATGTTATCACCAGCCTAACACAGCAGCTAGCCAGGGCCTTTGGTGGGAGAGACAAAGACTGGTGCGGTGGCTGCGCCAAGTGCGGGACTCATGTGACTCCATCATCGCAGGGAGCAGTCTCATCTCCTCATCTCGCCCCAGGAGCAGGGCCAGCAGCAGCTGTACCACTCTGCTTCCAGTACCAGAGGGGAAAGGACCTTGGTTAGGGGAACTGGGCGTGCTTTTGTCTCAGTGCTGCTGGAGAAACCTCTGGGCTGCAGGTGGTTACTGCACAGCCTGCCAGGGCTTCCCTTCCTACCATCCGGCCTTGCTCTTGGAGCACAGTGCAAGGACATGGAAGCCAGGTCTGGCTACAGAGCTCGGCACGTCATAAAAATGGGGAAGAAGGAATGTTATTTGGATCTAACAGGTTCCCAGGCTGGGGATGACATCCCGGGTCTCGTGCTGGAGTGTTTTGCTGCACGGGGAGCAGCAGTCCTGGTCTGTCTGACACTCTGTGTGTCTGTCCAGCAGTACAGCTGTGCTTGGGGCCTGTCTTGTACCAGCACCACGGGCCCATGGTAATGTCCTAGGCTTTAGCCACCCCACCCCACGCCTTGGCCTGAAGGACAGGTGATTCCGAGCGCTCTGAAGTTTTTGTTTTTAAATGCAGGTTTACAACTTGTCCCAGAACGTGCAGGAGGATGATCTGCAGCACTTGCAGGTAAGACCTGTGTCCCTGATGCTCTGCAACACTGGGGTGCCTGGGTTATGCTCCGTTGCTCTGGAAAGGCTCTTTTGCATTCGTAGCCACAAAATGTTTGCCAGTTTCCCAGCTCTCATTTTGTCTCATGGGCAGGGAGAAACCATCCCTTGGATTGAAACTTGTCTTGCCTGTGCTGTCGTAGCGGGGCTCCTGGGGTCCTTGGGCAGGGCAGTCAGTGGGACACTGTCCAGGAGGGACCGTTCCAGTCTCTGGGGCGTGTGTCTTCCTCGAGGCTGATGGCCCGTGGAGCTGCAAAGGGCCCACAGCCGTGCTTCGTGCTGCAGCGGGTGGCGGAAGGGCACAGAGAGACTGCAAGAACCAAGGCTGTTCAGTCAGGAGACAGAAGTGACCGAGAAGGGAGGTGGTGATGGTCTTTGGCTGTGTATGAGGCTGCTGCAGAGGGCTGGGCACTATCTTTTTCATATGTCCGCGCTGCATGGGACCAGTTGTCATGGGTGGTGCTGCAGTCAGAGAGGGTTAAGTTGTCTTTCTGATGACGAGGTTGAAGGAGATTCAGACTGTGTAAGGGGGGTGTAGAGTACTCCGTGTGGAGCACCCACCACAAGCCTGCCACGAACAGTCGGGATGTAGCTCACGCTGGTCTGTGTGTCCTTCCACAGGATTATGCTGGGGTTCCTTGGGGAGCAGAGACCCGTTAGAGGCCAGGACTGACCCGTGGTGCTGGAAACGTGCAGCGACTTGTAGCAAGGGGCTAACATTGCTGATAACAGGGAGGATCCAGCGTAGTTAACCATGTATTGGCTGTGCTTTTGATGCCGTGAGCATCTGTCTGCTGCTCCGTGATTTGAGGCAGTAAAAGTGCCCGCTTGACTGAAACGATGGGGAAGCTGAAGGTAGAAGTTGCACTGTTCACACTGCAGGACGGGATCTTTGGATTGTTAGGAGAAGCCCCAAGAAACTGGGAACTGGTTTCTAAGCCTGGATATTGCCAGCTGGTACTGGCTCAATGCAGGTGACCCCTAAGGGTAATTACAGCCGTGAGGGCTGGAGGGAAGCAGCTAAGGGGATTTTTGTGGCATATGTGTCCTGCCCATTTCCGGGAGTTATCTCTAGCTGTCTCTTGTTTAGGTGGTTGACTGATCGGTTAGGTAGGGTTTTTTTTCCAGGAGCTTAAGAAAAAGGAAAGAAAAGAGAAAGTCCAGCTGGAAAAATCAGCATTTGAAGACTTCTGTATCATTTCAGTCAGTAAATATTTTAACAATAATGCCTTTTTAACATTGAGTGTAACTCTAATCTTTCAGATTGGATTTCAAGCCATTATTGTTTAATGAGCTGACCCATTTTTGGGCATCTGTGAAATACATTATTGTGCCTTCAGTTAGAAATTACAGTCCAGAGAGACTGGAGAGCCTTCAAATCTCACTGGTAGGCTGATCTTACAGTCTTTGCACCGTAGGGGTTTGCAGGGAAAGTACTTATTTCTGAATTGATTTCCGCTTCTTCCTGGAGTGTTTAAAGAGAACAGGGCTCCAGCAGTCCCCTGTAGCACATGAGGTTTCTGGTTAGTATGAAAGCAGCTGATTTGAGCCATTTTCCACAAATTTAGCAGCCAAAAATTCTAGGCTGAGATCGTTCACACGAGGGCTCAGCACAGTGATTATCCAGAACTGCTCTGTGTGCCTCTCGGATGTGAACCGAAAGCACAGAGCCAGCCAGCTTCTGTTCCAGCTTGGTGCTGTCATCCCCGAGTCAACAACTGCCCCTTGCCGCCGTGCCTGCGGCCCACAGCCGTCTGTGTGTCCGTGCGGACTGACAAACCCACAGTCCTGTTGTTCTTTCCTTCTCTTCCCAGCTTTTCACTGAGTATGGCCGGCTGGCCATGGAGGAGACATTCCTGAAACCCTTCCAGGTGAGTCCGAGGGTCCTGGCCAGGTCACATCCCCTCTGCCAGAGGTGGCTTGGCCCCAAGCCTGGTGGCTTCACCACGAGATGTCACTGCAGTTTGCAGGACCGGTGGGAGATGGGGGTGGCTGGGGGCTGGCTCAGCTGTGTGAAGGAAAAGCTTTGTGCTTCCTCACCCCCAAAGAGGCTTCCAAATACATCCAACATCCCTCTTCCTTCCCTCTCTGAACCCCTGCCATCCCCAGCGCTCTGCCCTGTCCTGCCAGATGTCCCGCTGGGCTGGGGAAGCAGTCAGGTTTTGCGGCGGGTTTGTCACGCTGCCTAGCTGGGGACTGCCCAGCCTTCGCTCGCAGAGGCTTGAACCCACCTGCCCCGGGAATCCCTGCTCCTGGCGAAAGCCAAGGATGGGGATTAGCTCCGAGCTCTTGCAGCAGATCTGTGGGAAGGCTCAGTTGAAGTGGGGTTTTAACTTCAAAGAAGGGACATCTGTTCACCCTGCTGCTTCCCAACCTGGTGTTCCAAAAAGGGAGAGCGTAAGGCAGACACCAGTTTGCTCTGGACACCAGAGCTGGGAAAATGGTGGGCTGTGAAATAAAAGGTTAAAAAATCCAGCAAACAGACAAATCGAGATTTTGGGGAGCTTTGAGGGTATATTGGATGCTGTCATGGGCAGAGGATGGATAAACAATGTGAAAACTACCAGTCAAAATATATGACTTGTAGTAGGAAGAGCTAGGAGAAAATTGTAACATGGTACAGGAAAAAGCCGGAGAATAAATAAATATTCCTGCTCCTTATTTAAAATTATCAGGATAATGTAGCCAAATATTTCAGTGAAAGTGAAATGCATCCTACTCCCTCAGTAAAAAGGAGACTGTGAGGGGAAACTTTTAAATATGCTTAAGTCATTAGGACTGGATAATAGGCTCTGATTTTACCAAAGCCCATAATTGGCCATTGAGTCCCAGAGTTTTGTTGATAGCAAGTCGTGTCAAATAATCCCATTATCAGTTTTTAAAAGACCCCGAGTTCGGTTGATAAAGGTAACCATCACCCTGATACGTTGCCTTCTGTAAGCCTTATCTCCCTACGATGCTGATTAAAAGCACGCAAATTTTCCGACTCGGCATTGTCTGTTTTAATCCATTTACAATGGATTAAAAACTCATTAACTGATAGATGACAGCGCACACTGAACCAATTTTAATAGGAAATCATCCTCCTTCAGAAGTGTTTCCTCGGGGCTCCCCCCGGGCTCTCTCTGCCTCACTGTCATCCTCACTAATGATCTGGGGAAAAACAGCAAACGGCTGGGGGTAACTCCTGTGGATGTGATGGAATCTGGGAGAAGGATGGGTGGTGACGTGGCCAGGTGAGCCGTGGAGGTCTCCTGTCCCCGCTTTTCCTGCAAAGCCCGATTTTAAAGACAGCCAAGCGTTTTGATTAGGAAAAAACAGGTAAACAAACTTATTTCCCAGTGGGGAGGATGAGTGTCTGCAGTTGAGGCTGGACAGAATGCTAGCAAGGAGGAGCGTGCTGTTAATGAGCGGGCAGTTTAATCGTTAGGGTGCCTTAACGAGAGACGCAGGGGCTTCTCTGGTAGCTGCAGGCCTTACACTGGGACAGCTCAGTAGAAGAGAGTCTGCAGGCTGAGATTCTTGGGTGAGGTTCCAGGCCTGTAAGTCAAATGAGCTCTTTTGTCCTTAAATTATATAGATCTGTAAAAGGAGGTTTTGGAAAAGAGCTCCTATGGAAAAACGCTGCCAAGCAGGGCGTGCAGAGACAGTGTCGATAGCGAGGCAGTTGCATTCATCCTGCTGGAAGGGAAGTAATACTTGACAGTGGAAAATTTATATTAAAAACATACATAATACCATTTCCCTTCGGCTCCCTCCTCTCTGCGATGTCTCCTCACCCTCGTGCTGATGCGTAACTGCCCGCGCTGCCTCGCTGGACGCCGGGCCTGGTCGTGACGGCGGTTTGCTAGGCTGCAGGGGCTGAGGGCAGCTGTGAGGGCTGGTAGAAACAGCGTGTCTGGAACAGTTTTGCTTAAGGAAAACAGGAAAATAATTCCAGAGTCCCAAAAGTGCAAGGCATGCTGAACGTGTTTGTGGAAAAGTCCTAAACATGGACATGTTTCCTAAGCATCCCATGGTCTGCGAAAGAACAGCGTGTCCTGAAACAGCAAACCGGGCGCCGTCGCTGCGGCTCGTCATGCAGTTAGCAACGACCAACCTCGCTCTTTTTAACCTTTCCCGATGTTTTATGGAAGAGAAACAAGGAAGGCAAAGATTTTTCCCTCCCTCCACTAAATCTTTGTTCTGAACATTGGCAGTTTTTAGGGAAATTCCAGTGAAATGGATTCCACTTGCTGACCTGCTTATTCATGTACATGAGAGGAACCCTGGCAACGCTGCCAGGCCCTCCTGGGCATCGGCGTTCAGGCCTTCCCCCTCCAAACCCTGTATTCGGTACAAGGGACGTTATCCCTTGCACAGATGAGACATTGGGGACGGGATTGTTTTTCTGAAAATGTTGGTTTTTTAAAGATTAAAAGTTGACTGTGCTGGTATTTATTCATTTATTGCACAGGAACTTTGAATGCCTCAATAAAGATTACAAAAGCCAGTGATTTCTTATTCACCCTCGTTATCCTGCATCTGCTTCTCGTTAAAAGTCTGCCTGGAAGGCTGCCCAGTGAAAAAGGCTGAAAAAATGAGCCTGTAAAATTCCCATAGGATGGAGCTAAATGTGGCTGGAATTAGGGAGCTCGATGCCTTTTGTCCTGGTTAGCAGAAACCTCTCTCTTGTTTTGCAGTGTAAATGCTCGACGCTATTCTTCAGCCTGGGGAATCAAACTGCCACCCGGCAAACCCGTACAGCCACCCTGGCTTTGCTCCTTCCTTCCCCTTGCAGGACGCAGCCAGACGTGCAGCGAGTCTGCGCGGTCTCAGCGCCGCACCGGGATGGCCCTGAGCAGTGGGCTCTTCCCACCAGTAACGGCCTGAGATGCTGCTGGAGCTGGGCAGTGGGGAAGGAGGCCCTGAGCTCCCTTGGGAACCCCTTTTGGATAACGTACATGTCCCGTAGCCACTCCTGGTCCTGTCGTGAGCAGCGAATGACAGGGCAATGCCCTTGAGGGGTTTTTCTGAGCTGGTATCTGAGATCCTGTGTAGCCCTGACCCTGTTGCGTTTGTGTTTTCTAGTCCCTTATATTCCTTGTTCGTGACTGGAGCTTCCCGTATGAATTTTCCTATGGATCTGACGGTGGTGCAAGATTTCTGGAGAAGCGGCTGAAGGTGCGTTCTTCCTGTCCTGGATTTGTTTAACCCCAGGGATACGCTGATGGGCGGTGGAGAGGGAAGAGGCAGATCTGGCTTGTGACCCAGGGATGATCCACTGCCATCAGCTGGATGGATGGCAAGTGCACAGGGCATGAGGGCGAGACCTTGATCTGGGCAACAGCCAGCGCTGGGGAGCCTAATCACCATGGAATGGTTTGGGTGGGAAGGGACCTTAAAGCCCACCCAGTCCCACCCCCTGCCATGGGCAGGGACACCTTCCACTAGACCAGGTTGCTCCAAGCCTCATCCAGCCTGGCCTTGGACACTTCCAGGGATGGGGCATCCACAGCTTCTCTGGGCAACCTGTCCCAGTGCCTCCCCACCCTCTCTGGGAAGAATTTCTTCCTGATGTCCAATCTCAATCTCCTTCTTTCATAACAATCCTGGGCAGGAAGCAGGGAATGTGGTGCAGAGCACCAGTACCAGTGAGGGTTCGGCTGGGTGGGCACCGTGCTGGCTGTTAGGTGTGAACTGTGGTGCGCAGAGATGCTGGTTACAGTCATGCTTCCCCAGTGCCTTAAAATCACAGAAGAGGCAATTTAGGAGACTGATTTTCCTTGCTGTGTTTCATGAGGGGCTGAGGCCGCCTGTGCTAGGCTTCTGGCCTGACTCCCTGGGCATCTCTTGCTGGGAGCAGCTGCGAGAGGTGTTAGAGGTGCGAGTCAGCAGATTCCCTGGAGACCGGGAATGATGTTTTAGTAATAGGTAGTTGTACAGTAAAACTGATGGGCGAGGGCTTCGCTGGGATTAATCAGGAAATTCATGGGTGTTTTGGTAGTGGAGAAACCTAATTAAACGGGAGACAAGAAAGGCCCTGGTGGGATATCCCAAATAGTTTTGTATGCTGGTCATACACGGGCACACACGTTTTCCAAACGATAATAACATGCCCCAGGGCATGTGGTCAGAGCTACGCTAGTTCCTTGGTCGCTGGAGGAGCCTTGTCTCTGTCCTTGTGCCGCATACCCCCATGGGATATCCTGGCTTGCTCTTCCCTCTGCAAGCAGCCACGGTGCGGGGTGCCCCGTGCTCCTGCTGGCCCCAGCAGAAGGAAACCCCCTGACCTCAAACTGGTCTCTTGCAGGTCTCGGGAAATCAGCATGAAGAGCTGCAGAACGTCATTCTTCACCAAAATCTCCTGCTTCCTCTTACCTCACCCGGGCCTGAAAGTCGCTACCAACCCTAATTTCGATGGAAAACTGAAAGGTAGGAAGGCAAACGTCTGGTTTTTACGCAGCCACCTTAGATGCCCTGGCAAACTGTCCCACTGGTTCCTGAAACCTCTCTAAGTATTTTCATGACAAAACTTCTGGGAGGGGAGTTGGATCCTCCTCCCAAAAACATACACGAGCGCTCAGGTCATTCTTCCCAGTCTGGCAGCTGCCTGTTCCTTGCCAGATCCTTTGAACCTAAGACAGAGGTGGAGGCTGAAAAGGTGTGGGAGGCCAGAAAAGGTCTGGGAGCTGCTGGCAATATGCACTGTCAGGCCAGATGGCTGATGGGCAAGGGCAGGGCTGAGATAGGAAGTTTATGGACACGGTGTTAAGCCTGTAATTAACCAATTATGCTCACTTGCAATTGGGCACAGGTGCAGAGCGGTGCAGACTGCTTGCTGGAAGGGAGGGCCGGCACACGTGCTCTCAAGGGAATGTTATTTCACTTTGAAAAGCTTTGCAAGGAATATTTAATCTTCCTGATTGACCTGATCAGTGGTTTTCCTACGGGTCAGACTTAGTTGAACAGGTAAAAATAAAGGGGGAAGGAAAAAAAGCCGTGGTAGGGTTCTCCACCCTCAAAGGAGCCACGTGCTGTGGATTTTTAATTGGTTGCTGTGGACCAACTACTTGCCAGCATCGCTGGTTACAGGCTGCTGCAGTCTCAGCATTGAGAAAGTGGCCGATTAGCCCCTTAAAATAAATCAGCAGGCAGAAAGATGTTGCTTTTTCCCTGGTTTTGCCTGGCTAGTGATCAGAATTGTTCTCCTGGCAAACTCTGTGCTAAGCAGCCAGCAGGGCAGCGAGGCAGCTTGTGGAGAGCGAGCTGATCTCCGTGGGGTCCCCCCTTAATTTCAGGTGCTGTGTAGTACTGAACGAGTGGCGCAGGTCTTGGCAGCAGCTTGTCATCATTTTCTTCTCCCCTCAGGGCTGTACACAGCTTTTTGTGCTCTGATGGAAGGAACGTGGGGGAGCTTCCCGTTCTCTTTACCTTCCAAATGCCTGGATGTTGCGTTGCTTTTAATTTCCAGCCTTGTGTGGTTTAATTTAAAAGGCAGTAAATGGATGTCAGACCCCTTGAAGCCGTAAGAATGACTGTGAGGTGATGGGTCTGCCTCTGAAGTGACACAAGCAGCCCACAGGCCCCTCAAAGAGCACCCTCTGCCGCTTTGTGCTTTGGCAAAGGGGACAGGCTGGTGGGAGCAGGGATTGTGCCCGTTCCTGGTACCTGCATGTAGGGATGTCTGATGGTGCACAGTCACTCGCAGGAGTCCTTGTACCTGTACCGAGCACCTCACGGTCTGCAAAAGCCCTGAAGTGCTTTGCAATGAGATTTTCACATAAAGGTTCAGAGACAACCAAGAACTCGGTGCAGAAAATCGTACCTGCTGGCACAGGAGGCGGCAGGGATGAGACCCAGAGAGCCTGAGCCCTGGCAGATTCCCCCCACGGATGCTGTGGAGCAGAGCAAAGGGAAGGCACAGCACAAGTCCGTGCCCTGTGCACCAAAAGTCATGATATGCAGAGCGTGTGCGCCCAGGCAGGAGGATGCTGCTCGCCGGCTGTCGGTGTTGCGTGCGTGTGACCAGCGTCGTCAGCAGAAGCGGGTTGTTACCCCCGTGCTGTCCTGTTTGTGTCTGCACCAGTGTTTTTGAGACCACAAAGCTGGTTTGCAGGTAGATGCACGGCTGTCCGTGGGTTAAGGAACAACTTAACTGGGGCTGCCATCGCTTCCGAGTGCTCCCGTCGCAGGATTACAGCCTGCCTGAGTCTCTGCGCGACTCTCCCGCTCTTGTCCCGTGCGAGCGCGCGCTGTGGCGCGTCTGGCATTGGGCTGGTGGTGAGGACGTTGCGTTTTGTTTCCAGAAATAGACGACGAGTTCATCAAGAACTTGAAGATTTTGATTCCTTGGCTTCTTAGTCCCGAGAGCCTGGACGTGAAGGAGATCAACGGAAACCACATCACCTGCCGAGGCCTCGTGGAGTATTTTAAGGTATTGGAATATTTAGGAGAAAGGGGGTTTGTGCGTCCGTGGCACGCTTGCTCTTTCGCTGTGAGCCACGGGGGAGGCAGCAGCAGGCAGCCCAGCGCTTGATGCTGGAGCTCATCGTCCTGACTCCCACGGCCGCAGAAAGTGGACACCTCAGGGTCGTGTATTCGACCACGCAGTAAGCCCAGGCAGTGGGCAGGGCTGGTTTCCTCCCCTGCAGAATTGAGGACCTGCGTGGGGCCGGGGTGGGCTGAGGGCCCTATTCCCATTATTGCCTGGGGAAAAAGCTTATTTTTGTTGTCATGACTACCGGGACATTTTGATGCAAGACATGGGTGAGTAATTCTCACCACCTACTCTCCAGGGCTACCTGTCTCTGGCTCCTTCTCCTTCACTGAAGGACGGAGGGAGGTGCAAATCCAGCAGTAGGGATACTTAGTGGTGGAGTGAGAGCCTTGAGGGACTGACCCCGGTCACCCAAGGCGTCACCTCGAGCCACGCTACGTACCACTTTTGACAGAGCATCCCCTGCTGAAGCCACCTTACGCCAGGAACATCCTCCTTAAAGCCGGGTCTGGAACTGGGCCGGGGGGTTTTTCCTGTTGCTCGGGAATGCCGCGTGCCACGTGGTTTCATTTTCTGTGCCCTGTTTTGCAGGCCTACATAAAGATCTACCAAGGGGAAGAGTTGCCGCATCCGAAGTCAATGCTGCAGGTATGTGAGTGTGATCTGGTGGGCGTTCGTGCGCTGTAATTGCCATTAATGGCCAGTTAATTGTCAGCAGCGTCCAGCTAGTGCAGCACCTTGGGTCTTCCCTGGTTTGATTTCAAATGCCTTCACGTAACAACCCAAGAACCAGCCCTTTTTGGGAGTATTTGGCAGTCAGGAGGCCGATCCAGCTCCTGCACCTCGGCCGGGCTGTGGTGACTCGTTGCCTGTGCGATTCCCCCGCCGGTAAATAGCATCGTCCTTGGCTGTGGTGCCACGCGGAGGTGCCGTGGGGCCGCACGTGGAGGTGCTGTGGGGCTGCAAACGGAGGTGCCGTGGCCCTGCAGCAGTGACCTCTGGGCTGTAGCTCTGCTCTGAGCCAGACAGCTTTGCAGGAGGTTGCAGCTGTAGCTGTTTACATATGATTGAGCCTTTTTATCTGTTTTCTTGCTGTTTCTTACAGCTGAAGCCAAAGTTCTTGCTGCTCTGGCTTGGAGGGTAGGGTGGGCCTACAAGGAAGCTGGGAGGGGACTTTTTGCAAGGGCCTGTAGTGACAGGACAAGGGATAACGGGTACAAATTGAAAGTGGTGAAGTTTAGATTAGATATCAGGAAGAAATTCTTCCTGGAGAGGGTGGGGAGGCACTGGGACAGGTTGCCCAGAGAAGCTGTGGATGCCCCATCCCTGGGAGTGTCCAAGGCCAGGCTGGATGAGGCTTGGAGCAACCTGGTCTAGTGGAAGGTGTCCCTGCCCCTGGCAGGGGGTGGGACTGGATGAGCTGTAAGGGCCCTTCCAGCCCAACCCATTCTCTGATTCTGTGATAATCCTCCCTTCATGCAGGCTTTTGCCTGGGGGGGCGGAGGAGGCTGGGCATGTAAATTTGGGATAACGTGGACCGTGGGTACCCAGGCAGGCACTGCCTGTTGCTCCCTGCAATTACGCTTCCTAACCCTGACTTTCTGCAGCTAAATCTTTGTACCCCTTTCTCCCTTCATCCAGGCCACAGCAGAAGCCAACAATTTAGCAGCAGTTGCCACTGCCAAGGACACCTACAGCAGGAGGATGGAGGAGGTAGGTGGTGCTGAGCACATCGTTTCACGGCGCTCATGTCTCCTGGCTCTCTGCTCCTCCTGGGGAAACCTCCCTGGAGAGAGGGTTCCTGGGAGAAACATCCTGCATGTAACCTTGGACTGGTTATGGTGCTGCACGTTCAGGGTCCCAAAGGGAGTTTGTGGAAAAGGGGCTTTCTCACGGGCGTGAGAGCAATGCCTGGTCAGGGAATCGTGGCGGGACAGGGGGAGGGTGATGACAGACGGTCGCCGTCTCATCAGGTGGCAGCTTTGTGCAGACCTCGTGGTCTCAGCCGAATTCACATCCTCTTCCCGGTGTTCCCCGCCGTGGGCAGATGCAGCCCAAAAAAGGGTTGCAGTGGGGTGGCCGTGCTGCGTGACCGTACAGCCCGTGGGGTGGCTGGTGCTAATTAGACCCTGCCCTGTCAGCCCACTTCTCAGCTCTGGGGAGGGGGCAGCCGTGGTGTTTGAAGGTGAAGCTCAGACCCCAGCCTGTCTCTGGCCACTTCCCGGCCCCCGCTCCGTTCATCAGGATTGGAGATCCCTGCCTTTTGGCAGGCAAAAGCTACGGAGCTGCGTGGCCAAAGTGCTTGTGGGCTGCCCTGAGCCTCAAAACTGATGTGTCCTCGCGCTGAAGCGGCAGGAAAATGCTGTGGAGTTTCCAGCAGTAGAAAATGCTGGAATTGAGGGTCCTGCCGGTCAGTGCAGCTCAGTGCTGCCTGAGATCCGGCTTGGGCTGTGGGTGAGTCGAGTGGGGGAGCTGTGGGATGCAGCTTCCCGATGCCGGCACCCGCTGTCCCTTGCAGAGCTGTCCCAGATGGACAGCACCGTCGTGGGGGTCTTCCGCAGGATCCACGGCAGACAGGAGCCTACAGAGCTTTAGGCTCTTTGCAGCTTTCCAGTATCTGAAGGGGGCTTACAAGGGTACTGGGAGAGGACTTTTTACAAGAGCCTGTAGTGACAGGACAAGGGGTAATGGGTATAAATTGAAATCAGGGAGGTTTAGATTAGATATCAGGAAGAAATTCTTCACAGAGAGGAAGAATTTCCAGGGGAGGCACTGGAACAGGTTGCCCAGAGAAGCTGTAGATGCCCCATCCCTGGCAGTGTCCAAGGCCAGGCTGGATGAGGCTTGGAGCAACCTGGTCTAGTGGAAGGTGTCCCTGCCCATGGCAGGGGGGTTGGAACTAGATGATCTTTAAGGTCCCTTCCAACCCAAACCATTCTGTGATTCTATGATTCTAATTCCAGTGGTTTGCGGTGCGGAGCACGGGAGCTGTGGGTGCGGCGGGTTCTGCAGTGACTGGGCTGTGTTTCCCACGCAGGTCTGTGGCGGGGACAAACCCTTCCTCGCACCTAGCGACCTCCAGACCAAACACGTGGAGCTGAAGGAGGAGGCCGTAAAGCAATTCCGCGGGGTGAAGAAGATGGGTGGCGAGGAATTCAGCCGTCGCTACCTCCAGCAGCTGGAGAACGAGATCGATGAGCTCTACATCCAGTACATCAAGCACAACGACAGCAAGAACATCTTCCACGCCGCCCGCACCCCCGCCACGCTCTTCGTGGTCATCTTCATCACTTACGTGATAGCTGGAGTGACCGGCTTCATTGGCTTGGACATCATAGCCAGCCTGTGCAACATGATCATGGGCTTGACCCTTATCACTCTCTGTACCTGGGCATATATCAGATACTCTGGGGAGTACAGAGAACTGGGCGCAGTAATAGACCAAGTGGCTGCAGCGTTGTGGGACCAGGTAGGATAAAGAGCTTTTGATTTAAAAAAAAAAACAAAACCAAAACCAACCCCACACCCACTGAGTCCTTAAGCGTTGAGTTTCCTGGGGCTCTGAGACGCTTCCCCGGGGGGCGGTTGGATGCTGCGGCTGAGCGCATCCCGCTGGTTGTGCGTTGGCTCTGGGGGGAAGACCCGTGCCCTGTCTTCTCCAGTCAGCTTCAGGCTATTCCTTAGACTTTTCGGGTGGGGAAAGCAGGGCCAGGGGAAGTGTTT